AGCGGTCAACCCCACAGACGCATTCATAAATTTTAACTTGCCGTTCATTCAAAACGGGAATTTTCTCAAGTATAAATTAATATTATAATAGCATATTGTGCATATATAGGCATAGTATAGGTTAGGTTAGGTGTTTAGGTTCTGTTGGCGATTATTTGTTTTTGTAGTACGTGGGTGAAGCATTTATAGCGTTGTGATTCGAACAAAATTCGTCAGTGAAGCACTTGTTCCGGATATGTTCGAACGTCAACAGTTGTGAGTCGTGTGTAAACCGCTTTTCATTCATAAACAGGGGGTTTGGCGGGTGCATGGAATCACTTTTGGATCTTTGTTTGGAGGACGGGCTGGGAACCCGCCTCATGGCTACTGCGTGTGTATTCGCCAGTATGTGCTTGCAGGATCGGGTCTTTAGCTCTTGGGATCCGTCTCATGGATATTGTGCGTGTATTAACCTATATGTGCTTGCATGATCGAATTTCGGTTCTTGGACACTGCCTTTCCAGGTAAGAACAGTAAAGCGAAGGCATGGGGGAGTACACTGAACAAAGTTCAGATGGAAATGGGGAAACTTGTTAACCCGTTTCCTTCTGAAGTTTGAAAGAAACTCAAATGAGACATTCTGATGTCTCATCTGACACTTATAAGACGCACATGAGACACTAGAAATGGGATGAAAGCAGAGAAACTGTTGAAATATGAGATCAGCCAAGGCCAAAATGGACCAAGCTGGGGTCAGATTCACGAAGCAGTTACGCAAGCACTTACGAACCTGTACATCTTTTCTCAATCTTTGGCGGCTTTGTTTACAATTATTAAACAGGCAATGAGCTCCTAAGCACCAGGAGGCTGTTTATAACAATAACAACAGTTGATTGGAAAGTTTTCATGCTTGTAAACTGTTTAATAAATGTAACCAAAGCCGTCAAAGATTGAGGAAAGATGTACACGTTCGTAAGTACTTGCGTAACTGCTTCGTGAATCTGGCCCCAGGATTGTTGCAGTCATAGCTGATGGTTAAGGTTCAGGATCTATGAAGGACTTAAGTATCCACGTACGAAACCCATACATCTCTCCTCAGTCACAGTAGCTTAGAGTACATTTATTTATGTTTATGATCTCCGAAGAGCTGTGAGATTCCTTATAACAATAAGATCACTGGGTGGTGAAGTATCCAAGCACGTTTAATACAGACAGACTAAGCTGTCTTGATTCAGGAAAGAGATATAGATTACACACAGAAATCACAATAGCGTGATGCATCAAATGAACAAAATGTCGTAAGTAAGCGTGTTCCATGTCGTAGCTCAGCCGATTAAGGCAGCATCTGGGATGCTCTCGGACGTAGGTTCGAATCCTCGTCACGGCCCTTGTGGGTTTGTTCAAGATATATAGGTTTGTTAAGTGGACACTTAAGTGCTTCATAAATCCTGGCCCTGGTAATAAGTGATAGGGAGTGAGCTAATAGTGACAAGGAACTGTTAAGCATTAAAACAAACCCAAGTATTGGTGAAGAAGACACAGGAGGAACACCAGGGTGGAGGCTGCCGCACGCTGTGGCGGCGGTGGAGGGAATCTTGGAGTCAGGTTATCTTGAGATGATTTCGGGGCTTTAGTGTCCCCGAGGCCCGGTCCTCGACCAGGCCTTCACCCCCAGGAAGCAGCCCGTGACACATGACTAACTCCCAGGTACCTATTTACTGCTAGGTAACAGGGGGCATCAGGGTAAAAGAAACTGCCCATTGTTTCTCGCCGGGGATCGAACCCGGGACCACAGGATCACGCGTCCAGTGTTCTGTCCGCTCAGCCGCCGGCTCCCTGGATGGCCAGTCGGCCTGGAAACGCACATCAAACTCGGATTTTTCGCTTTTCCTTCTAGATATTTTCGCATAACAAAGAGAGGGGAGGGGGTGGGGCAGGGAGAAGCAGACGGAGAGAGAGAGAGAGAGAGAGAGAGAGAGAGAGAGAGAGAGAGAGAGAGAGAGAGAGAGAGAGAGAGAGAGAGAGAGAGAGAGAGAGAGAGAGAGAGAGAGAGAGAGGAGAGAGAGAGAGAGAGAGAGAGAGAGAGAAGAGAGAGAGAGAGAGAGAGAGAGAGAGAGAGAGAGAGAGAGAGAGAGAGAGAGAGAGAGAGAGAGAGAGAGAGAATGAGAGAGAATGAGAGAATGAGAATGAGTGAATGAATATCCTGGAAGAAGTCGCTGGAACAAAGCTAAACTGATCCAACGCAGAACGATTTATACTTTGTGGGTTGAGAGCCGGAATATTAAACTGGAGGTGTAGAGAGTAGGTATGTAATGTTGTGAGTGAAGACCATGAGGTTAACGCTTGAAGACAGTGAGGACTTAACAGGAAGCAGCTACCAGAAAGTCGATGGTGAACGCTCGCGGAGAGGAAGTATTTCAGAAAGTTATGGGACGTGAGAGCAGGAAGGACCCAAGGGAGTGAGTGAGAGAGTGTGAGTAAAGAAGAGTAACGGTAGAAGGGAGCAGAGAGTGTGAGCAGAGAGTACGCACCTGTTACGTATTAGTACTTGCTTATTAGTGTGTAAGGGTGAATGAGGTGTAGCTCCTTATGCCCCGACTACTAGCCTTATACCGGTTGAGTTTCAACATAACTACTCTGACTTTCAAATTCTTTGTCAAATCGGGCCTTCAATGTGTGGATGGAGGCGGCTTCCACAACTTCCTCTTTTAGAGCACCTCACTCGTTACCTTCCCGTACACGACACGGGTACTTCCTTGCGTTCCTTCAGCTCATTTGCTTCTGTGTCCTCTTGACCTGCTTCCTCTCAGTCTGTAGAGGCTATCTTTGTCCACCTCAGTATCTTGTATGTTGTGATTATATCCCCCTCTGTTCCTTCTGTCCTCTAGGGTTGTGAGATCTGGCTCCATTAGCCTGTGTTCGTAGCTTGGTCCTCGTAGCTCTGGCACTAATCTTGTTGTAAACCTTTGTACCTTGTCAGTTTTGGCTTTGTTTCACAGGGTGCGGCTTCCACACCAGTGATGCGTAGTCCAGTATTGGTCGAACAAATGTTGTGTAGATTGCTTTGAAAGAGTCCTAATTCAGGTTCCTAAACGATCTAATTAATTTTGGCAATAAAGATGTTAATAATAATAATAATACTAAAACGCTTTTCTAACACTTGTGACTCCACTGCAACTGAAATTTTCATTTCTCCCCTTGTTCTTCCTTACCTTGTACTGAAGATGGTCTCTTTGTCAGATAATTAAGTCCCCAGGAAATCATTGATGTCGTTATCATGTCTCTTTAATTCCCAGTGTTGTAGAGTGTGTAAGAGAAGGGGAAGAGTTGAGCAGTGCGGTAGTGCGGTGATATCCCTTGTTAGTGCCAGCTGCTCCTCCCCTCCCTCCCCTGGGGATGCTGGCTGGGAGGGGAGGCAGTTATTACATAGTGGAAAGGGGGGGGCGAGGGGGGGGCGTGAGGGTACCGTAGGGGGGCAGGGGGGGCGTGAGGGTACCGTAGGGGGGCAGGGGGGCGTGAGGGTACCGTAGGGGGGCAGGGGGGGGGAGTTGTGTAGTGGAAACATTTGTGTTGTGATTTTAATATTAGGGCTCCCAGCTGTGTGCTTCAGCAGACATTTTACAGCAAGTGGGACAAGTTTGAACAAACTAGACCGGTTAGGGTCTGGTAAAGTTATGTTGGTTAGTGGGATAAGTTAGAACAAATTACTTGAAGGTAAACCTGCACATTGTAGAATACTATGACCATAGTTGAGCGGCGGGAGAGCCAGAGGTCTGGCCTTAAGTGGATAATTGCTCTAAATTTATTTAATTTATTTAATTATTTATTTATTTAAATTTATTTATAATTTATTTAAATTTATTTAATTTAGAGCAAATGGACTGTATTTAATTATTTGGTTCCACACAATTCTCTCGGTGGGGGGGGGGGGTATTTGTTATGAATAATACCCGGATAGAACAGGATTTGTAATTATAAGTTAAATTTAACTTATATATTAATGTGGACTTAGTGCAGTGAAATTAAATAATGAACTGTCTGAATTGGGATTAGTCAATACTATGAGTCTTAACTGCTGACATGACGTCTTAAAAAAGCTGACCCCCCCCCCCCCCCATAGTCCCATCACCGTGGAACTCCACCCACCAGTTCCAATATGGCTGTCTCCGGAGGACTGGTTCAGTAACCACCACCTTCCTGCCGATAATCTAAATATTAAATGGCGGCTATACAGCGGGTCAGAGGGCGGCTATACACCGGGGCAGTGGGCGGCTATACAGCGGGTCAGAGGGCGGCTATACAGCGGGTCAGAGGGCGGCTATACAGCGGGTCAGAGGGCGGCTATACAGCGGGTCAGAGGGCGGCTATACAGCGGGTCAGAGGGCGGCTATACAGCGGGTCAGAGGGCGGCTATACAGCGGGTCAGAGGGCGGCTATACAGCGGGTCAGAGGGCGGCTATACAGCGGGTCAGAGGGCGGCTATACAGCGGGTCAGAGGGCGGCTATACAGCGGGTCAGAGGGCGGCTATACAGCGGGTCAGAGGGCGGCTATACAGCGGGTCAGAGGGCGGCTATACAGCGGGTCAGAGGGCGGCTATACAGCGGGTCAGAGGGCGGCTATACAGCGGGTCAGAGGGCGGCTATACACCGGGTCAGATGGCGGCTATACACCGGGGCAGTGGGCGGCTATACACTGGGTGGCTATACACCGGGTCAGTGGGTATAGGGTCCCCCCTCTCATCTCTCTTATATATATATATATATATATATATATATATATATATATATATATATATATATATATATATATATATATATATATATATATATATATATATATATATATTATTATATAAACATGCTGACGAGCTTCGCGTGTGTGCCTCTCCGTGAATCAGTGACCCTGGCTAACCTCTCCATAAGTCAGTGACCCTGGCTAACCTCTCCATAAGTCAGTGACCCTGGTTATCCTCTCCATAAGTCAGTGACCCTGGCTAACCTCTCCTCGCTCTTCCCTACAGAAGCGGCTGCAGAAGGAACTGATGTCGCTGCTGAAGGAACCTCCTCCGGGTGTCACCGTCGACGTGGACCAAGCCCACACCAAGCTGACGGAGTGAGTGTACATCTTCCAGTCCCAGTTGTTACATGGAGGTTGAGAACTGCCCAGCTCACGCTTGGTGGGACCTTCTTGGTTACGGTTGTGTGAGGTCTGCGTGCAGAAGTTATCCCAGTTACCCGGCCCCCGGACGCAGGAATCCCTGACCCTAGCAGTAGTCTAAAATCAGAGCCGTAATACAAATGCCATAGTGACATTACACATCTTCTGCATACCATGTATAAAACACAAAAGCTGCTCTCTTATTTAGGTTAAGTCAGAATAGGTTAGGTTTAGTCGGGTTTACTTAGAGTAGTGATGAACATTATATATAGTTTCATTTCTGAAACTTATCCCATATTCTGTGTTGATTATTTTCTTGTTTAGGGCTTCTATCCCTCTGACTAGTGCTCTTGCATCTTGATTTATTTGGGGAATACAGAGAACGTATATAGCACACATGGACACTATAAAGCACCTAAACTATTGGGATAGTCTCAAAGCTCTCAAAAGGAAAGGAGACGAGAGAAGTGTCAAATAATGTACACGTGGAAAATAATAGAGGGCCAGGTCCCAAATTTACACAGTAAAATAACAACATACTGAAGTGAACGATATGGAAGGTAATGCAAAATAGAGTCGGTGAAGAGCAGGGGTGCCAAGGCACACTCAGACAACACTGTATGAACATCAAAGGTTCACGATTGTTCAATATCCTCCCAGCAAATATATGAAATATTGCTGGAATAAAAGTAGACGTCTTTACAAGAAAACTGGATATTTTTTTTCAAAAAGTGCCAGGCAACCGGTCTCTAGTGGATACCTGGGCCTGCAGGCCGCTCCAAGCAACAGCCTGTTGGACCAAGCTCTCACAAGCCAAGCCTGGCCCTGGGCCGGGCTTGGGAGGTAGAAGAACTCAAAGAACCCCCATCAAGGCATGATCAAGGTAATATACAGTAAAACCAGGTGTCAAATGTACACAACAGAATATTAAACTAGAACACACACAAAGATATGGCATGACAGGCCTGGTCTCGGGCCGGGCTTGGAGTAAACTTTCGGAGCAGACTTCAGGTAAAATAAGAAGCATTTATGTATCGCTAGTGACTTGGTTATTAATGGGCCCAGAGACACTGACGTCCTGCCATTCCTTATAATTATTAAGCTAGACGCATTTGTGGCACCATGGTACACATGGAGGGTAGTGTAACTGTTGTATCATTACAGGTGGGTGGTCCACATGGAGGGCGCGTCCGGTACTCTCTATGAAGGGGAAAAATTTCAGCTGCAGTTCAAATTTTCTCCAAAATATCCCTTTGATTCTCCAGAGGTGAGTTTGTAGGCTGTGCACAAGACACAACCATCCTTTAAAAAGTATAGAATCAGTACTCGGTGGGCACACTATCCAGTACCCAGTGGGCACACTATCCAGTACCCAGTGGGCACACTATCCAGTACCCAGTGGGCACACTATCCAGTACCCAGTGGGCACACTATCCAGTACCCAGTGGGGGCACTATCCAGTACCCAGTGGGCACACTATCCAGTACCCAGTGGGCACACTATCCAGTACACAGTGGGCACACTATCCAGTACCCAGTGGGCACACTATCCAGTACACAGTGGGCACACTATCCAGTACCCAGTGGGCACACTATCCAGTACCCAGTGGGCACACTATCAAAGACCAATGCTAGTTTCAGTAGGAACCACCTCCACTCTTGGACATTGTGGCCACTTGGTAACTACTGTTTATGTTACAGAATATGAACTTTTGTAAAAATTAAAATTTTTCTCTACTGTATTCAACGTCTAAAAGGCCATAAAAAATTAAACTATAAATCTATTCTATGCCTAATTTAGTACATTTGCATATTATACTAGGGCCTGGGAAGTTAAATTACGTTGTTGCATTCTTTCTCGGACCTTCTACAAAATTAATACTGTAGTACAAAACATCGACAATTTTTGTTGCTCAAAAGTTCATATTTTGTACTTTTATTCATAATAATTATAGGTATTATAATTTTTGGATGACAGTAATTACTGAAAATAAAGTTTGTCATAAGCTTTATTGAAATGTGTGAGATGAAAATGTAACATTTTGTATAGTTAAATTATTTTCAAGGACAGCCAAGGTGTCAGGAATTAGCATCACTTAGATTAAGTAAATTAATGAAGGAAAAACCAAGTACAGTACTTACTGTTTGTAAGTCACAATAATGGGGCTGAAAATTTAAGACCCAACCCACACATCTGAAAATAAAGAAAGTGAAGACATTTCGATCCGTCCTGGACTGTCCCCAACCCTGGGGGCAAACGACATCGATTCAGTATAATTCGAACATGTTATTTTCCCACAGGGAACTTGATAATGGTCCAGGATGGACCATATAATCAAGCGCTAAAGCAATTTTCAATATACAGTATTTTTAGTCATCAAACATAAAAGATTGAAATGATTGCAAAAGAAAAATTTAATTAGAAGTCGTATCAGTTAACACAATTGAGTGTGGCCAGTAACTGGATGGGTGAGCACAATTAGATGCCAACTAAATGTTTGAGATGTAACTAAAAAGGAAGGCTTGAATGTAACTAAATCTCATGTGCATACCTTTCACTTCCAGGTGATTTTTGTGGGAGACAACATTCCCATTCATCCCCATATTTACTCCAATGGTCACATTTGCCTAAGCATCCTGACAGAAGACTGGTCGCCTGCTCTCTCTGTGCAAGCCATCTGTCTCTCTATTATCTCCATGCTCTCCTCGTGTAAAGAAAAGGTTTGGAGCAATTTACGTTCATTCAAGTATGGTATCTAGCAGAGCTACTGGGATGTATGGAGTTTCCCATGTGATGCCACATGATCTGTGGGGGCCAGATGGCCCATGCATTCATATTAAATTCATTGTCAAATGTAATTAGCTATTGAGGTTCTAGCAATGAGTAACTGGAGTGCATCTATGACATTCTCAGTGGTAGAATCATATTTGATGCTATGGAGTTGTAGACGTAATAAGTGCAGTATCCCCCACCCCACCATTTCCAATCACAAATATCTCGCTGTTTATGCCCCCCCCCCACACACACACACATCCCACAGCTGCTAACCCACCCACATCCCACAGCTGCTAACCCACCCACATCCCACAGCTGCTAACCCACCCACATCCCACAGCTGCTAACCCACCCACATCCCACAGCTGCTAACCCACCCACATCCCACAGCTGCTAACCCACCCACATCCCACAGCTGCTAACCCACCCACATCCCACAGCTGCTAACCCACCCACATCCCACAGCTGCTAACCCACCCACATCCCACAGCTGCTAACCCACCCACATCCCACAGCTGCTAACCCACCCACATCCCACAGCTGCTAACCCACCCACATCCCACAGCTGCTAACCCACCCACATCCCACAGCTGCTAACCCACCCACATCCCACAGCTGCTAACCCACCCACATCCCACCAACCCGCCCACATACCGCAAACCCACCCATATGCAGCAAACCTGCCCATATTCCGCCAACCCACCCACATTGTACTGTACAAACCATCCTACCAACCCATCCACATCCCACCTTTTGGTGTACATATTGTTTTTATAATCTCTAGCATAAATTTAATACACATACTGTATCATCAGTCTTTGTTAATAAGTAGCTATCAACATCTATAAAACTATATAAAAAGTATATCTATCTTTTGCAGAAGCGGCCACCTGACAATAGCTACTACGTCAAAACTTGCAGTGCCAACCCAAAAAAAACGAAATGGTGGTATCATGGTAAGAATACAACAGCGCACTCTGGTATACTATGAGTAAGATATAATAATAGATGCAGGAGTTTAAAATTTTCAAATACATATCGAAGTTTAACCTGGCTGGAGAAACAGAGTTTAGGGTCTTAATTAAAATTTGTATGGTAAACTTGAGTATTCAGTTTAGAGATTGGTTGGAGCACTGTTTAGTATTGAAGTATGTATGGAGTATGGAGTACTATTGAATCACTGTGAAGGGAAATGGCAACTTATTCTCACATTTAATACATGCTGTTAATCATGTCTAAATGGAAAGTGGTTTAATTAAAGAAGTATCAATATTGTGGCACTTTAAAACAAAAAAGTAAATCTCAATAAGTTATATGGGTTTTCCAGATTCTTCCACTTCTGGTAATTGCAAAAGCACTTCACATTTTAAACTTGTCAAATTATAGGAATAAACAGGAAAAAGTAGTATACTACAGCATCTCTTAATATTATCGACAATCCCTTGGATTTTATATTACAGTAACCACTAATACACACAGCATTCCGGGCAAAACAAAATACACAGTAGTCGTAATGGCTTGGCACTTTATCCTGATAATGCTCTCTCTTTGGGGTGCTAGTTACAAGATCTGGGGAACCCATAAAGTAAAGTTTAATTACCCTCAACCCCATTACAAATAGCACATTAACTTCAGCTGCCAGGAAGTGTTGTTTGTGTCATTTGTTAACCAACCCACCCAGTATCTCTTCTAACATCTAATTTTTTTTTTCTCAAAATATCAATAAAAAGGTAACTTAATTTGTAATGTTGAGGTTTAGATTCTTGATTATAAAATATGCAGACCTTACTCTTCCATATTCTAAATCCAAGTGCAGAGCAAGCTATTAAAATGAATTTATGTAATTTATAGGGTGTTGAATAACTACAATACATTACATTGTGCAATAGTAATCTTTGTTTAATACAGTAAAAATTTAATATATTTTGCTAAATTGTAAGGAGAATCCCTTAAAATATTTACATTTCTACAGATGACACGGTATGATATGATCTTGAGTACAGCCCCTGACCCTCGAAGAAGCTCACCTTGTTGTTGGAGGCGGTGCCCTTGGCTACTCGGTGATGTGTAATATCATAAACTAACGGTGCTGGCTGCTTAAGAATGTTTTGATAAATACTTTGTTACAGAACCATCGATGGAAACTATGACAAGCAGTAGAAAATGGGAGCATCCAATAGCTCTGCAAGTCTCCCCCTACAGACAGTTCAACTACAGTACTGGCTTTATGTATAAATGCTGTAGTAAAACAAGCATATAGAGATTTTGTAACAAGAAATTGGAGTATGTATTGCCCAACCAGTATTCTTTATCCTTGTAAGAGTACAGTATGTCGGTTCACATAAGTGAGCAATTACAAAAGAAATTGCCCCCTCATTTTTTTTTTTTTTTTTTTTTTTTTTAAGGCAGCTGTGTTGCCTTCTCTTCCAAAGACACTAAAATAATTCATGCAATTTTAATTTTGTGTGTGTGATCCAGTGTTTGAGTGTTACAGTATGTAGGTGATGCTGTATTAGATTATTTATTGTGAAAATACGAGTTTGTTGGTCACCCACCAGTAGTCAGTCTCTTCGCCTAAATCCTTAAATAGTCCTAGTCTAACTCTTAAAGAAAAAACTTTTAAATTCATGAAAATGACTTCAAAAACTTTTCATTGTAAGAAAGAGAAATTCTAGAAAAAGTACATAATCAACAAATGCCTAGCAGAGCCTTCATGATATAGAACTTTGCATAATCATGTTGGTTGCTATGCTCTACTCCCCACCCACAATTATAAACTGCTATGTTTTGTAGACTTTACCTACTCTACATTGTTGTATCTATTTAGTTAAAAAAAAGGATTCAGTACACATATTTTGTGATCAGCTTTTACTCCATAGCCTATATTTCAACTCTGAAGAATAAGTTTTTTTTTATCTTATGTACGTTTCAGCCTGTAGTATTATCATTGTTTTGTTATTCGTATTGCAGGACACGCAGGGTAGGTAAGGTAACACCAGTGAATGAGCTTGGCAAGTTAATTAAAATGACACACGAGTAAATGCCAGGATTCACAAAACATTGAAGTATCCACTTATGGAACTGCACCTCTTGCTTCAACCATGGCCACTTCATCTACTTTTATTGAATGATTGAGCTCCAAAGGACTGAGGTCACCCTTAATAATCTTAGGTTAAAGCTACCCTTGTATTCTAGAGCTCAAACTGTTTAGTAAATGCAAATTAAGCAGCCATGATTGGGGTAGAGGTACCCTGGAGATGTCAACCAGGGTACTTCTTACACCAAATTAAATTATATGAATACAAATATTTTAAAACACTAACTTTTGAAATACAGTGTGTTTATTTAAACATTTTTTGTTCCATGTCATACAAGTGCAGTACTACAGGTGTCAAAATTTCATTACAGTACAGTACTTACTGTAACAATAAATGTCCAAAGACCATCTTTTATGAAACTAGATTTTTAGACTTTTGGTTACCTTGTTAAATAAAAACATATGAGAGTTATTGTTGCATCTGTTCCAGACTTATCATGTCAAAACATTGTACAGCTCATGTGAGCATTCACCTTTCACTTAAATATTCATAAGCTGTTTTATGCTACATTTAAGTGTACAAATCATTTCATTACATTGACAAATTCATCAGTGCATAAAATAGTAATTTCATTATTTTTGCTAGTATTGATGTGTTATAAACTCGGAAACATTATTACTTATTGAATACAAATTAAGAATTGGTGGAATGTCATTGTGATGTAGTATAATCATACCATACTCTTGAGCACACAGTAGTGCAGTTCAACTCATGTAAATTATGATTTTCCACTAGTGTGTTTACATTCTGAAAGTTGATGTTTAACAAAATGAATGATGTCAAGTTTCCAGCCAATAAAGAAAATAAAGGACTTTGGCTTAAGCCAATTCACACAAGACTATGATGTGTCAACAGTCCAGGACTTTATAACTTCAAACTTTATGCAACACAAATGTGGCAGTTTCCAAAATTTTAGCTTTAACATGCAGGGTATCAATGTTTGGAAATGTAAACATCTACAAATATATGCAGTATTTTTATTAGTTTTCATCTGGCTATCAAATGTAACTTCCATTATAAACAAATACCCTCATTGTCGAGTGTATTTAGTATTCGACATTCTTGCCTTGGAAAAGCAATTTCATAAATGCAGTATATCCTTAAATAAAAAGAAAAAAACAAAGCTTCTTTAAATAAATTTAGTGGTGCAGTTGCAAAAAAATCAATTGATGCCAACTACTGTAGTGAATAATGACAATAGATATTTTAACATGGTGGATACCTGTATATTATAATCAAGTTATGAAATATAAGCATAATATTACACAAGAGCAAATATAAGTTGGCACAATAAGCACTTTTAGTCAGGTAAAATACTGTAGTGTGGTCAGTGGCTCCCAGCACAGACTGACTGGGACCACACTCATTCCATTTTTACAAAGATTCCAGTCCACTGTAATCTGCTAGAGCAAGGTGACATTGTATGTATACACTCACTCATTTACAATGGCAGTGGTTACACCTCCATAAAGATACAAAATTTCCTTGCTTATTTTCCTTTTCAGTTATAAATTTAGTGAAGACTCAAGGTGAGGTCTACATGAGGTTTTTAATAATTTGTAAATATACAGCAGTAGGATATATCATAAATCAGGCATGTCAAACCCGTGGGCTGCATGCGGCCCTTTGCAAGCACACCTGCGGCCCGTACAAAGGATACTGTAATACTATATTACTATGTAATACAAAGGCTGCTATATTCTGCAATATTTTTGTATTAAATGCCTTCAATTAGTTGTTGTGCGGAGCCCTCATGACAATACAAATGTGATCCATATGGCCCTCGGGGAATCCTCAGTTTGACATGCCTGAATTTAAATATCATTTTTTTCTCTTGTCAAATCATGACCAAACTATCAGTTTGATCTGTATCAAACTTTTTTTTCTGAAAAACAAAAAGAAATACAAACAAAAGGCTACTGCACAAATCCAATAAACTCAGTATCACCCCATTGCCAAAATTATAGAACCTATGGTACAGTGGATAAAATTTGCAAAATATTTGACTGATTGGCTCTACATAAGTTTTGTACTATTGCAATTTTTAAGGGAATAACAAAGTAAAGCAGTAACCATAAATTTGTCCTAGGCCTACCATGCAATATTAGGCTTCATGTAGTGCATATGTACTATACAAAGCCTAGGAGAGTAAGAAGTTATTAAAAGGAAGGCACCAAGCCCAGAAGACTAGCACTGTGGTGCAGAAGTCCTAAATATCACCCCAGGATGTCAATAAGTGCGCTAAAGGACACAAGACAAGCAATGTTAAAAGTATTAGTCAACAAGGATGTTTGTGAGGGGGACACAACTTGCAGGGGCACTGGGACAGCAAGTTTTCCACTCCTTACAACCTGGACACACTACATAGTATGGAACAATGTAGTTTGGACAATAAGGGGCAAGTCATTTGCAAATAAAAATACATTTTGATCTGCTCCCCAGGAGGTATGTGATAAGACCTTTAGTAAAGAATGGGCCTTTGCGCACTCAATCCAGAGGTAAAGGATGGAATAGCAAAGATAGCATGTAAGCTCATCTTTGACACTCGCCTATCTTTACACACAAGGGGACTCCTGTAAAGTGACAAAGATGGATGGGGATGATGTGCCATCTAGAAAGTCATATCAAGTCAAGAAAGTTCAAGTCAAGTTCAAGTTCAAGAAAACCAGAGGCCATGCCTGGTATCCAAGGACGACATGCTTTCAGTCACAAGTTGGTGCTGAAGGGAGAAATGATCACTGCAGAAAATGGCAAGTCCACAGAATACAGAGTGAGAGGGAGAAAGGAAGACTTGAGGGCACTGAGGAAGAGGGTAGTGCTGAACACAATATTATGGGAAATACTTTCATGTTGGCAATTAGAGGTCGAGAGGGAAGTCTCAAGGTAAACTCAAAAAATACGATCAGCAAGGAAGCTTTGTAGGAAGAGAGGCAAATTGCTATGGAGGCCAACAGAAGACAATTAACCAACTGGGTCTGCAAGAATGGAACAATGAATATGAGTCACAAGCCATGCCATGAACAAACATGTCAGTGATCCTATGATCCTACTTCCAGATTTTGAGAAGAGTAGTATTTATGGTAATGGAGGAAGACGTAAGAGCTTCAAATCTCACAATAAGTCACAAATGACTTGGCTGCCACACTGGTTTTCTGAAACAAAAAGGATTCTGCCATTTTCTGATGTAAATGCATAACTTGGAAGAAATACATGCAACAAATAGCACAAGCTCAATCAGAAGTCCACCAAGGAACACATTTCCATGGGCTGCAGGAAACAGAGCATGGGATATAATGAAGGGCAGCATCAGCAAGTCAATACCAAGAAGAAAGGAGTGCAAGATAAAGACATGCAAGGGTGGAAAAAACAGTTCATCAGCTCTGTCAAAGCGTTCACCAGGGTGAAGAGAGGGGGAGTGTAAGAAACAACAGAGGGGGAAATGGTCATTATAATAAGATGCCATCTAGGACCTGCCTAGATGACAGATTTTACCTGTAAGGAAAGTTCAAAATAGAAGGGGGGAGCAAAGAGAAAGACCCATGAAAAGCTAGGTTTGGTTGTCTTCTCAGGTTCTCTACAAAATTAATAGTACAAGACTGACTTCTTTTGGGTGAAACAATCCATAGTTTGTACTTCCATCAGTAGTAACTAAAACTACCATTTTTGGATGACAGGTTACAAAATTTGTTCTTAAAAGCTACAATTGGCAGTGGGCTTCATATTCTTAACAAATTATAACATTTATGAAGTATTAACATTAAACAATGTGGAAAAATTATCCCACTGGTGGCATTTAAGAATTTAGGTTGCATAAATGACTGCTAAAATTGTACAATATTGACATGCTACTCCCTTTAGGAAAGTAATACATTATTTGGAAGATGTGACATTAACAATTATGCTCTCAAACACATAAGCAGCATATCATTAGATAGCCATTTATTTCATACTAGTTAGCAATCAACTAGGTTAAAAGAATATATTAGCTTGCATGCTCACTCGAGTCAGTATTGTACCTATCTTGTAACTTCTGATCTGCTCCACTGTTTGCATTATACATTTTAAGCAAGAGCATTTAGTATGACAAATTGTGAACCAGTTATGCTTCACAGTTTGAAATGTATTGTGATATTCATTAATGATCATACAATGTTTCATTGTAATTTAGTTTGGTTGTAGAATAAAAAAAAATCAAAGATGTCATTTCAAACTTGCATAAGTATCTAGTGCATTATATGAAATATTCTATTGGAAATTAACTTTTCAAAAAGATACAGTACAGAATATAAAATTACAAAATGGCTGCTAGTTTGCATATGCAAGCTTAATACATGTACTGTAATAAGTACCATATATAATGTGTGCTGCATGTGTAGACCACTCACATATAAAGCAGAATATTTTTAAGTTTCATATTTGAAAGGAAGAGCCTTTCATTCTTCACTAGATCCTGGACAATACTGAATAACTGCTTGGATTACATTCATGTCATTCCAATGTATAATAGATAGGATGACAATGGTTTTCTGTGTTCCATTATTAGTCCGTTGATTTAATTATATATATGAACGACTTAAGCAAACGATGAGTCACAATAACGTGGCTGAGGATATGACCAAGCCACACACCAGAAGACAGAGAAACAACAAGATTTTGGTTCGTCCTGGACCATTATCAAGTCTTGTGTGGACGACTTGATAACGGTCCAGGACGGACCAAAATGTTGTCGTTTCTCCATCTTCTGATGTGTGGTCTGGTCATCATGAGTGAATTACCACTTGTATAACGAGGCATTTACTTATTTTTATTCTATACATTTCCAAGTTCATATTGGGGACCTGATTGCTTTCACTTAAATATTTTCCTCCTCATCATTGTAAAACATTAAATACATAGGAATGCATATTCTAAGGTTGAATTACATGATTTTGTACCCAGAGGAGCACAGTTAGGCCACTGCACTTACTATGAATCATAATGGAAAACAATCAAACTTTGCTGTACCCCTGATGCATAACTTTATACTGTGCAAGCATGTTATCAACGTTATGTGTTGCATACACAGCTACAAGAACAAATTACATATGACGATAAAAGTAATAATGCTTCAAGTCATCTCTGACCTCACTTACATTAATGAGTCGGTACTGTATATGTTTATGTTACTTTTATACAAAGTAAATACTGAAGTGTAAGAAGTCATTATTATAATAACTGCCATGTTTAATTACATTACAACAACCACATTAAGAGTCAAGGATGCGATGGTGACCATATTCAGTTTTATGAATGGTACATTGCCAATTTTAAATCATGAATGTTACATGTACATGTCAAAATTCATGAGTATTTCAACAGCCAAGTCATGATTATAAATGTGTTATAAATAACCATATCAATGTTCACATAGTTAAAAATGATCATGATATAATTAATGAAGATCACGATGACCACATTAAGATTCATGAATGCTAATATTTACAATACTGTACTTAACATTTGTGAAAATAATCATTCCCTTGTCCATTATGAGTTAAGCCTGTAGCTAACGTAAGCATTGATTGCACTTTGCAGAACAGGAATATTGTGCTCATAATATATCCTTTTATACTACCATCATATTTTCCTCACATGCTTATGATTTAACAGTGATATATGCATTTGTTTCCCACATCATCCCTAAGCAATGCACTTAAGTTTTCACATAAGCTCATAAACAGGTCTTGTACCAGTTTAGTTAGTCCTTAACTTTCAATCTTAAACCCAAGCATCTGTCAGAATTTGGAAGACAGTCTTTTGCTTCTTTTTTAACACCAGTATGTGTTATTTATATACTGTATAAGGTGTACATCAATGTTTATACACAAGGCATACCGGTATGTGTTCTGTACATACACAAGGCATACTGGTACGTGTTCTGTACATACACAAGGCATACTGGTACGTGTTCTGTACATACACAAGGCATACTGGTACGTGTTCTGTACATACACAAGGCATACTGGTACGTGTTCTGTACATACCTAACATTACAAAACATAACTACAGAAAGTCTGAAAATTAAAAACATAAAAAATTCCTTACAAAATTAATTTATAAATGTCATCATAAGAATCAAGAATGCGCATAATCTCATTCCACTATCTTGTAAACACAAATAATAAGACTTGAGCTTGTCCTAGGCTATAGCCTAACATGTTTTAATGGCATTACTGAGGTTATGGAGTAGCCTGTTTGCCATCTTTTTATATATTGCCTCCTGTGTTGTGATTATACTTGGTATCCAAAGTAGTGTGATATTTTCTACAATCATTAGTTTTAAAGAGTATTCTCATTACTATAGAGTAATTGTTAGATGTATATGAATATTGCATAGGTTTGAGGCAAGGGTAGGATTCTGTCTCTTATTATGCCCAAGTGATTTAGAAATTAAAATATTCAGCAAGATAAAACATTTGATTGGAGCTGCTGGCAGGTCATTATATTGCTCTCATGCTTTACTTTTTCCACTAGCTTAAAATGAGGGAATATTTATTCTTCAATAACCAACTCCAGTTTCTTCTTTGATCAGACACTATGACTCAAGAGTTGTTCTAGATAAAACTGTCATAAATTATTTATATATTTCAGAATTTTACATAACTATTGAGGAAAATCAGTGCAATTTATTTTATTATTAGAAAACTAGAATTTCATTTTTAAAATGCAATTTTCTCACATTTGTTAAAAAGGAATTTAATGCAAACACTTTTACAGGATTTTTTCATAGGCTTTGTACCTCTTTAATTTATATATTTTTTGTCCAAAACAATCATTGGTACCTGAATCAAGGCTTATTTTCTCTTGTCAGATCATGATTTATTGCACAGTAATTCCAACTGAACAAGTTCCTTTATTCTGTAGTATTATATTTAATTAAAAAATTCATTAAAACATACCACTGCCCATTCTCTCTTTTTTCCAGTATGCCTTCATTTATTATTTTAAACATTCTTCAGGAATTTGAATAAATCTAGGTATGGTGATTTACCATGTATGTAGAGTATACCTTTTTAACCCTCAAAGTGTAGGCAAGACAATTTTCATAAAATCTCATAGAACTAGGAAAAGACAAAACCAGCATTGAATATAATGAAATGCCTCTTTCTGTAGGGTCTTTTATAGCTCCTTAGTGCTAAAACTCTGGCAAACTGCAAGTAATTCAATCCACTAAGACCTTTGTGAATTGTATAAGCCTAATGGGGGGGGGGGAGGGCAGAAGCCAAAACCTTGGCCCCCCCCCTCCCCCTCTCTAAAGAGGGGGGAAGGAGCAGGTAAGCATATATTACCCTGACCAAGAAAAAGCCACCAGAAAGGTGGGTGAACCAATATGAAAAGCAGGGTAAATAAAGAATTGAAAATGGGACGGCGAAGCCTTGAGATTCACAAACGACTTGATAGTTTAGCAATTACAGTACTGTATTTTGTTAGTTCCACCTGCGCACCTTTCTGCTTAATCCACCAACCTTGACATCTCTGTCAAATAGCCAGTATTACAGGGGCAAGGGAGGCCTCTTCTCACCTGCACTCCACTCTGTTAGCCTGTGCTTGAGCACCAATTCCTGCCCTCATAATCGGAGTCAATACCTTATCCCTATGTACGTCAGATACACAGGGACCTTAGCAGTTCTTTCAAGGACAACCAGACACACAATCTCCAAAAAGTGGCAAGGTATATAACAAGAGGTGGTATGGAGATATATATACCTGTGGCAGTCATGCTCACCGAGTCACAATGTTTGTGAAGAATTTCATTGTTTTTGTGCTATTTTGGGATCTGAACATAAAAGTAATTATTATCTATCATGCCATGGGTCCCAAGTAAGTAAGTGGTAAAGTTCAACCTAAGGAAATAGTTGCGAGTAGAGCCAGTAGAAGATGTCCCTTCCTCATTAAGAAAATGTGTGCAGAATGAGAAGAACTGCAAAGTTTTGTTGAAAAAACTCCCCCAGATAAAGGTGTAGCAGGCTGGTACACCTTAACCTTTTTAATAAATCCTATATTGAGGCAATGGGTTGAAAGATAAACTGAGTACATAAGTAAAGTACTGAGTACATATGTGGTGAGTAAAGGCACAAAGACGTGGGTCCATAGAATTACCCAAATCGGCCCAAAACTACACAAATCGTCCTAGCATTACGTAAGTAATGCTAGGACTTGGCTTATTAGGCAAATTGGGCCTTGCATAGTAGGCTGAGAAGTGCGTTCTGGCTACTAGGTACGACATATATATATATATATATATATATATATATATATATATATATATATATATATATATATATATAAATTTGGCACCTTTGTGGGACCTTGGTATAAGCCTAACGTATATATACACTGGCTGCCTGTCCCCCTACACAATGATTTATTATTACCTATTATTTTATCGTTTAAATTAAATATTAAATAAAATAATTTATTTAATTATTATAGTAAGTACTTAATAATTTAATAATAAGTAGTAAGTACATAAAAATCATTAAAAAGTACAGTTTAGTCAAAGGAGATTCCTAGATTGAAATTCACAACCAAATTTCGATATATCCAAGTATTTTTAGTGTGAAATGCTGTTATTATATGCATAAATTGCTGTTTTAATAATATTACGCTTAACCACTTGGGCTGGACGGTAGAGCGACGGTCTCGTTTCCTACAGGTCCGCGTTCAATCCCCGACCGCCCAAGAGGTTGGGCACCATTCCTTTCCCCCGTTCCATCTCAAATCCGTATCTTGACCCTTCCGAGTGCTATATAGTCGTAATGGCTTGGCGCTTTCACTTGATAGTTCCCCCACCCTCCTGAATAATATTACGAGAGCAGTATTTACGGGCTATTCATGCCCGTGCCACCTCTTGGGTGGCTTAATCTTCATCAATCGAGAGCAGTACATCCTAACCAGACGTTATATGATGATATCCTGAACAGTTGATAAATATAAGTAATTGCGGAACTCCAGTTATCTAATGCTTATCATAAATGGTATAAAACCTTATCATAAGCCAAGGGATTTGTGGATCAGTGTTTAAAAGGAATTCGGAAGTAATAATGATACAGCTGATGCCATCTGTCGGCAGAAGAGAACACTATCAACTGGCTGGTCAACAGTGGCCATAAGATACAGCTTACGCCATCTGTTGACATCAAATCACACTTATAACAAATTACCCCACAAAATACAACTAGCGCCATCTCTTTTTTTTCCAACGCACTATAAATAGCCAAACAGCAACCCATAAGGTGGGTTGTTGTGCTCGGGTAGGAGGTTCCAAGCTCCGCCTAGATATTCTTTGTTGACATTCACACAACAGCCAATCACAGGAAGGAATCAGCTAAAGGCTCCATCCACTTAATAAATTATCTTTATTCAACACAGCATCCTTGCTTATGACATTCTGCTTCAACTTTAATCTACCTAAAAAGTGAAATGTTAAGTATTTAAAAATATTAATATAGTGATAATTAAATACTGCAGGATGTAACGAGTGTTACAGAAACATGGGCTGGCTACCTAACTTGTGACGTCATCAGTGGGAGTTGCTTCACACAAATAATAATACGCTGCTCTACCCTCTTATTCGAGTAAATTATTCAGTTAGATGGAGATTTCTGTCAGGTGCAAAACAGAAACTGTTGTTCTTTTTCACAACAACCTTCTTGTTGTGCACAAGGACCTATTTCTTAGTTAAAATTTTATTCATAAAAGAGTGTTGGTGTTCCCCGCAACAGCCAATCACAGGAAGGTATTTCCGGAAGCTCGGCCTCCTTATGGACTCAACACATCGCTCTAGCTCATGGCTCGCTGTTTCATCTCTTGTATATTCAATCTATGACTTTTTTCGATTAGTTATAATTAATAATATGAGATATAAAAGTTTTTACACAAAATGCCTAAATTCTGCCATTAAATGTACTTTGTCTGGTATACATACAAACATACACCAATTTATTACCATTCATCCATTATTAATTTCAAATGTAGTTCCCCCACCCTCCTGAATAATATTACGAGAGCAGTATTTACGGGCTATTCATGCCCGTGCCACCTCTTGGGTGGCTTAATCTTCATCAATCGAGAGCAGTACATCCTAACCAGACGTTATATGATGATATCCTGAACAGTTGATAAATATAAGTAATTGCGGAACTCCAGTTATCTAATACTTATCATAAATGGTATAAAACCTTATCATAAGCCAAGGGATTTGTGGATCAGTGTTTAAAAGGAATTCGGAAGTAATAATGATACAGCTGATGCCATCTGTCGGCAGAAGAGAACACTATCAACTGGCTGGTCAACAGTGGCCATAAGATACAGCTTACGCCATCTGTTGACATCAAATCACACTTATAACAAATTACCCCACAAAATACAACTAGCGCCATCTCTTTTTTTTCCAACGCACTATAAATAGCCAAACAGCAACCCATAAGGTGGGTTGTTGTGCTCGGGTAGGAGGTTCCAAGCTCCGCCTAGATATTCTTTGTTGACATTCACACAACAGCCAATCACAGGAAGGAATCAGCTAAAGGCTCCATCCACTTAATAAATTATCTTTATTCAACACAGCATCCTTGCTTATGACATTCTGCTTCAACTTTAATCTACCTAAAAAGTGAAATGTTAAGTATTTAAAAATATTAATATAGTGATAATTAAATACTGCAGGATGTAACGAGTGTTACAGAAACATGGGCTGGCTACCTAACTTGTGACGTCATCAGTGGGAGTTGCTTCACACAAATAATAATACGCTGCTCTACCCTCTTATTCGAGTAAATTATTCAGTTAGATGGAGATTTCTGTCAGGTGCAAAACAGAAACTGTTGTTCTTTTTCACAACAACCTTCTTGTTGTGCACAAGGACCTATTTCTTAGTTAAAATTTTATTCATAAAAGAGTGTTGGTGTTCCCCGCAACAGCCAATCACAGGAAGGTATTTCCGGAAGCTCGGCCTCCTTATGGACTCAACACATCGCTCTAGCTCATGGCTCGCTGTTTCATCTCTTGTATATTCAATCTATGACTTTTTTCGATTAGTTATAATTAATAATATGAGATATAAAAGTTTTTACACAAAATGCCTAAATTCTGCCATTAAATGTACTTTGTCTGGTATACATACAAACATACACCAATTTATTACCATTCATCCATTATTAATTTCATATGTAGTTCCCCCACCCTCCTGAATAATATTACGAGAGCAGTATTTACGGGCTATTCATGCCCGTGCCACCTCTTGGGTGGCTTAATCTTCATCAATCGAGAGCAGTACATCCTAACCAGACGTTATATGATGATATCCTGAACAGTTGATAAATATAAGTAATTGCGGAACTCCAGTTATCTAATACTTATCATAAATGGTATAAAACCTTATCATAAGCCAAGGGATTTGTGGATCAGTGTTTAAAAGGAATTCGGAAGTAATAATGATACAGCTGATGCCATCTGTCGGCAGAAGAGAACACTATCAACTGGCTGGTCAACAGTGGCCATAAGATACAGCTTACGCCATCTGTTGACATCAAATCACACTTATAACAAATTACCCCACAAAATACAACTAGCGCCATCTCTTTTTTTTCCAACGCACTATAAATAGCCAAACAGCAACCCATAAGGTGGGTTGTTGTGCTCGGGTAGGAGGTTCCAAGCTCCGCCTAGATATTCTTTGTTGACATTCACACAACAGCCAATCACAGGAAGGAATCAGCTAAAGGCTCCATCCACTTAATAAATTATCTTTATTCAACACAGCATCCTTGCTTATGACATTCTGCTTCAACTTTAATCTACCTAAAAAGTGAAATGTTAAGTATTTAAAAATATTAATATAGTGATAATTAAATACTGCAGGATGTAACGAGTGTTACAGAAACATGGGCTGGCTACCTAACTTGTGA